TTACCTGGACCCTCCAATGTAGCTCGTTTTTTGGGTTTGTTATGGTTTTTAGGTATAGTGAAACTAGCAAATAGCAACAGTCGGAAAACGCCGGACTGCCAGCTTACAGGGGCGCGGCTAGCTGGATAACCCAAGACTAGTATAGTCCCCCTTAAGTAGAGAGGATATGGCTTTGGGTATGTTACATGGTTTTTTAAGGTTTATACCCTATTTTCTATCTGCTTAAGGGTGATTATAATCTGTTAAAAAATGTGGTTTTATGGCTTCAAAGCGATTCTATCTAGGGATGGTCATGTTCTTTTAGAATCACTCCCAGGAATACCCCTGTAATCTGTAACTATCGAAAAACAGCAACTTTCGAAAACTTCTACACTCTAAAGCCTACACCCTAAACTAAGATTCCTAAACCCTGAGTTCTAAGCCCTAAACCCTAAACCCTACACCCCCTTAGGAGGTCAAAGCTTCGCTGCTCTGACAGCTCCTCTAGGACGATCACCTGAGCAGTGGACATTTCTTCGTGGTTTAGGGTCAAGGGTGGGGGTTTAGCTTGTACAGTAAAGGGTTTAGAGTTCAAGGGTTTTGGGTCTAGGCTTGAGGGTTGTGGGGTTTAGGGTTTGTGGCTTCAGGTCAGGGAGTGTAAGCCATTCCCAAGAAACGGTCGCACAAGGTACCTGGGCGATGGGTGTAAACTGTATGTAGGAGCCTGAATAAGGACTGATGCGATGATCCGCTTTGATCCTTAAACAACCATAAATAATGTAATGTGTATACAATATACCCCCAAACGCGTTGCCATAAAAGTGGTTAGGCCTCTCTTTCGACACAGGCTAATGACGCGAAAGTTGGTCTGGAATTGCATTAATACAAATTGTATAGGCATCCGGTTCGGAGTTTTGACCGGGTTTGTGTGAGCTCTCGTTTTCGCCTTATGAAATTTGCATGTATCTGGGCTTGAAGGATATTGAGCACCCCAGACAATCTCAACAGCATTCATTCCTATTGCGGAACTCAGGGAGCCCAGTTTTGCTTACTTCAGAAAAATCTACCTGAACTCTTATTTGCTGGATCCCAAAACTTTCCTACCATGATATTCCTCAGTTAAGGGGTACTGAGCTCCCTGGGAAGCTTCTGGGACCATTGAATTTCTAGACTGTTGAACAAGTAAGGTGATGTCTCCTTGCTTTCAAGCATCACAAGGGAATACCACTTCTATAACCCCTAAACCCTAAACCCCAAATAGTAGTTTCCATGTTCTTTTCCATTATCCTATATAACCCCAATATAACCCTAATATTCCACGGACATTGGGGGTAGTCTGGCCTTTTTTGTATACTTCCCCATGCATTTCTGCCTTTGAGGTGACCTTAGCCCTGGGTGGGTTTCTAGTTTGGGTGCTGTTCCCTAAACTCCAAACCCTGGTTGGACATGGTACTGCTTCCTGCATCGAGAGGCCAGAGATCCAGTGTAGAATTGCGCTTGCGCCCTGGAGAGCACCGTCGGTATCTCCTTGGCTTGAAGGCTTGCATAATCCCAAGCACAGGGCATACGAGGGCACCTGCCACAACTTGTACCAATTCCACGACTTGCTTGCGAGATACTGCCGCATTGTATGCCCCCTGCAGATGAGAAATTATGATATACCAGCGACTGCCATATCGTTCTCATGCTGCACCGTTCAAGCTCGCTTGTCCTTTTCACCACAGCATGTGCTCCACAAAACCTACACTCCACTTCTCTAACCGTCAAGCCCAACCATAGATTCAGCTGCCCAGTTTCGCGGATGGCTCCGTGCAACTCGCCACCTGTTATGAGCTCTGTGAGGATGTACACGCTCCTGGCACTACGGGCGCAATGTACCTCCCCAAATTCTTCAATAGACATCTGATCGTTTCTTTCACACCGAGGAAACTAAAATGATGCATGACCTCGATGCACTAAACTTACTAAACTCCTACAAGCTCCGAACGCATAAGGTACTGCGGCTCATGCAGGAATGTAAATATCAGCTGTAGGAGCCCTGAAACGGGACCTTAGTCTGAACTCCCTCAGACTTTGCGTGGGAAAAGGTGGGCCAGGTTGTGGGTGCTGGGACCCAATTGCAGGGAGATGCTATACCAAGACCTCGCAAATACCCAAAGAACAGCCCAAATGCCTGCCATTCTGGGGTTAAACGAAACATTGTGAGTATTTGGGAGGTCCAAATAGAACTGGAGGTATGACTACATATAATGATAGTACGAGTATACTAATACTATAACCTTTTGGCTCTTTCCAAAAGTACAATGGAATGCAACGCAGCGCGCGCCGTTTGCGCATCGCAGCCCACTTCCATTGCTTGGCAAAAGTATAGCTCCTGAGATTCCCTATCATATAAGGAATGCCATGAGCTGGGGCATTCATGAAGTCCTCATGTTTAGATGCAGCCCTATGAACTTGAGTGCCTACCGCTGCTATAGAAGCCATAGTCTAAACACCGAGTATCCCCCTTAATAACCCCTGTAGTACTCCCCCGGAATCCCCTATATAACCCTCTTAAGGAATTAAGACGATAGCACGCATGCAGTTTCTAAGACTGGCATCTGCTTCCTTCGCCTTTATCACGACATACACGCTGATAAAGCAAAGAATATCCCGCAACTTCAAACTCCACACGACATATGGTTCACAATATCGGCCCTTAAGCACATAACCATGGTTCAAGCTAAAAGACAGACTACATCGAACTTCCATACCTGCACCAAGAAGTCCAAGCAGCCGCAAGTGTTTGTTCATTTTCCTGGGATGTTGCTGAGAGACATCGTCGGCTGCCTCTACCGATATGACCCCGGACCCCTTAAACGCAGCTGTACATCATCTGATCTGGTTCCTGTGGCAGTGGAATACCCGCTCCATGAATGACCACGAAAGCGGGGGCCCACCCCTGAGACTCAAGCCGCATAAAGCGCCTTCGCCTTGGCATAGAGGGCTTTGCCCTGAGCACTCTTGCCTCCCACTGCGCAAAAGCCTTTGATTCCTAGCTCCTTACGTGCCGTCATCACGGAGTCAAGCCAGCGCTGCGCGAACTTCTGGATTGCCTTGCCCTTGGCATGCATCTTCTTGCTGACAATCTTGCCACGCTTGTTCTTCATCAACTGAGTCTTCGCGAGGCCGCCGGATGTCTTCTCCTTGGTTCCGCGGAAGACGACGGACTTCGCGCGCTTGCCTGTTGCGATCTTCGACACAGCCTTCTTCTTCATGGCCTTCATTGCCGAATTCTTGGACTTCATGGCGCTAGACTTCATGGCGCTGGACTTCATGGCCTTCTTCATGGCGGTCTTCATCGGCAAAGCCATGGTGGGAAAGCCGGAGATCTGCGGAATCGCAAGGCAGGCTAGAACCAGAACAGGCTCGGCGACACGCACAGATGCTGGTCTGCTCCCTCTGAAGGCTTAGAGGGTACGTAGGTCAAGGAACTCAAAGGAACTTGAAGGACTTTTACGCAGGGGCTATTCATCCTGGTCGTCGTCAAAATGCGCACGCATCTCAATCAGTGCAGTAACTCCGATACCAAAGCAAGGCCATGGGGTGGCCCTCTCACTTATGTCATGGCTTTGCGCCACTTGTCTGAGCTTGACTGGTCATGCATGCCAAGCACTGGTGGCAGTTGTCCTGTCAGTCTCGAAAGTCTTGACGAGCGCCATGATGAACCTGGGCTGCGCTTCGAACAAATGCATTGCGAACCTAAACACCTATGTTATCATTCGTATTGTTATCCTTCTGCAAATCGCTATTGCTGCTATTCTTGCTGTTGCTAGCGTTGCTATGTACGGAAGCTTTTTAAGCATGCATGTATGCGTACATATCCAAGCACAAGCGCCGACCTGAAACCGATGGGATCACGTTGAGCGCGCCCTCCGACAAGCCTAGCTTCCACGCGCACAAAACGCAATCCTTCACTCTACAAACACAAGTGCGAGAGCAAACGCAAAGCCGACAGTTTTGCCTCGTCTCATCTGCTGTTCGGTGCATTCAGCACTGACGGATCGAGGCCCTTGGGACCTCTCACCGAACAGCGCGTCTTCGCAAGGTGGGAGAGGTGGGTGCTTGGCAAACCCCCTTCCTGCACCTTTCGTTCTCGAACTGTAGCGGCTA